TATATATATATATATATATATATATATATATATATATATATATATATATATATATATATATATATATATATATATATATATATATATATTTACCCTCCATATTCAGTCCAAGAAAATACATTTATGTAACATTACCAAAACTTTATTTGCACATCAACGAACATACTAAAAAATATATTATAATTATATTATTATTATTATGACGATTATTATTATTATTATAAAGATTGAAATGTATTTTCTTCACCCTAACATATACTTGTTCGAAATTAAATGCAGTTTTGATTTCAAAAAGGTATTTTATTGAACAACACAGATTCAACATATTTACCAACTTTTTTTAAAAAATATTTTGTTCATGGAAAAATTTAAAATATTACTGTATGTCGCCTCAGACGTGTTTTTTGTATTTTTTTCTAGACTTTACCTTGTTTTAATTATCTACAAAGCCGTGTCCTACTGTCGAGTGCAGTGGAAGATTTATTTATTTATTTAATGTGTGTCGTGCTGCAGTTCTGTGAGTGTCCGACAGGCGGCAGCAGCGCTCCTGACCGACGCACAGCAAAGCGCACAGGTGATTGACAATAACACTAAACAAACACAGTCTAAAATCACACTGAACACTGCGTAAATAAACCCCTGTCGACTTAAGGGACTTTGAGAATTAATTGTCATTAGTGTGTCGGAATCTGCATGTGCAGTGCAGTTGTGTTGTTGTTGTGCAGTGATGTGGTGTGTTCTGCCCTCCTCAATGCTCTCTTGCTTCTCTTAGGTTTGGCTCTTGGTGTTTTCTCAGTGTTTTGCCTCATTAATGTTGAGGGAAGTGTGTGTAAGTGATTTACTCATCCTCCACTCCTCACTCCAGTGTCCTCCTGCTGTCCAACACAAAAGAAGATACTTTGATAAATGTTGGAAACTGGTAACATTGACTGCAGTAGAGTTTAGTTTTTCCTACTCTGATTGTTGATGGTGTCTGGCTTTTTTCAAAATGTGTATACGCGTGCGTGCGTGCGTGCTTGTGTGTGTGCGTGCGTGTGCGTGCGTGCGTGCTTGCGTGTGTGTGTGTGTGTGTTTTAACAGGAGTTAGACGTTGATTAAAGTTTCACACTTGTGTTTGAGTAATTAGCAGGTGAGTTCTGTCTGTTGAACTCTTCATTAGAGATGATCAACAGTTTTTGCCATCGTTTGTTATTTCTCTACAGGTGTTTATTGCACTCTTCACTCTTTAATGTGGATTAATGATTATTTTGCGCAGCAGTGATGTGATGTTGTGCATGTATTAAAGCAATGATGGATCTGGCAGTGCAGCAGTGTACCGGAGCTTGACTTGTTCTGCCGTCATCTCGTGATCAGTGATGTCTGAAGCTTCATTTTGGCCTGTATACCCTCATGACTGCTTCTCATTATGATTCAAAGGTTTAAACACCCTCATGATGGGTTAGCAAAGTGTATAGTGAGAGATGAGGCGTCGGTTACATACATTACTACTGTTTCACACACTGCAGCGGTCGCATGCACCAGTAGTTCAACTAAAATACATGCATTCATTCATTTTCTTGTCGGCTTAGTCCCTTTATTAATCCGGGGTCACCACAGTGGAATGAACCGCCAACTTATCCAGCAAGTTTTTACACAGTGGATGCCCTTCCAGCTGCAACCCATCTCTGGGAAACATCCACACACACACTCATACACTACGGACAATTTAGCCTACCCAATTCACCTGTACCGCATGTGTTTGGACTGTGTGGGAAACCGGAGCACCCGGAGGAAACTCACGCGAACGCAGGGAGAACATGCAAACTCCACACAGAAACACCAACTGAACTAAAATACAATAGTACATTACAGTAAAACACTTTTGGACCGTATTGAAGTGTATTATTTACAACTATGTTTAATGAAGGCCACAGTATATTGTTGTAGAGTGTAGTCCCTCCCATAGCCTCATCCTTATAGCAATCGCCTCCCATGCAGGAATCACCGGCTCCATCCCAACTCAGAACAAGTGTGTGGGTGTAGGACCAGTTGGGATACGGTAAACGTGAACACTTTTGAAGTGAACATGCCTTATATGTAAAATACTCCAGTGAATGAGTGATCTGTGTAATGCTGCTGTTGCTGTATTACTGCATGATTGAGCTGGTCAGTTGTTTAGTTGTTGCAGTTGTTCAATTTAGCCAATTCACCTGTACTGCATGTGTTTGGACTGTGGGGGAAACCGAAGCACCCGGAGGAAGCACATGCGAACACAGGGAGAACATGCAAACTCCACACAGAAATGCCAACTGACCCAGCCGAGGTTCAAACCAGCGACCTTCTTGCTGTGATGCGACAGCACTACCTACTGCGCCACTGCGTCGCCCTCAACACACACGCCTCATTTGATATAAATCTGTTTGCTTGATGTGAACACTGCTGTAATCAATCTTAAACACATTTCTGACTGACTGATCCTGATAAAATCAGGGAGATATTGCTAAAGTACATGAGCATACTGTATTCACCAAACAGCAGACTGACAGCTTAATATAGCCCGATCCTAACAACCCATACAACAATGTGAAGCTCATTCATTCAGCTCTCTGCTGATGTTTATATTTCAGTGTGAAAATGCCATCCCCTGACTCCTGTTCACCAGTCTCCCGCACTTCTGTGCTTCCTCTTCCATACTGCAGCACTGGCTTGTTTATTGAGTAAATAGAGCGCATTTGATTGGTCAGAAGATTTGTTGAGAGACTGCTGTACAGCATGAGGTGATGCCAACATCATGCTAATGCTGTTTTACTTCATTGACCTCTATTTATAAAGACTTTGATTGTGAAGGCACGACGGCATATAATCAGCCACTATGGTGACGCCCAGGTGATTGTAACTCCGCCCTCCTATTTGCATTTAAAGCCACAGTCACCAAAACACGACAATTAAGATCAAAGCCTGAAAGGGTCAGTTTCAGAGAGCTGGAGAACATCATCTGTGTGATATTTTCAGCTCAAACTCACACACACACACACACACACACACACACACACACACACACACACACACACACACACACACACACACACACTCT